TGTGCTCTTGTGTTACTGTGTGCACTGGTGTTACTGTGTGCACCGGTGTTAGTGTGCTCTGATGTTCCTGTGTGCACTGGTGTTACTGGGTGCACTGGGGGTACTGTGTGCACTGATGTAATGGGATCATAGTTGTGTCTGCTGTCATATACCATGACAGCTTGTGCTGTATCACCTTGTACCAGACTGGCATGTTGGGCCTTCACATGATGGACTCTGCTGGTGCAAGAGAGTGAGGATTTGGTCCTGTGTCCTTTTAATTTGTTCAAGGGCGTTCCCAAGTTCTGTTTGCTTTTGCATTATTTCGTGGACGACTGGATGATTAAGGGATCATCCAGTCGACTTGGACGACTGGATGATCAAGGGATCTTGGCGAAAAAAAGCTGGCGGGTGGCACTGGCACTGCAGCAGAAAATTCGTGTTAATTTCGTCTCCACCCAACAATGTATGGCCAAGCTGCTGCCCAGCAAGAGTAAAGTACATGGAGACTTAATATGCCATAACTCACAGCGAACCTCAACAGTAATCAACTCCAATTAACCAATTTTCATTGTGCCTGCCAATCGACGACCCTGCTGCCAAACGTTCACTATACGCCTAACCCCACTACCATTCTCCAAGTATCTACCTATGAAAACATAACCAAGAATATATCGCCGAGAACATGCCCAAACATAACAATAAGCAAGGTAGGGGGTGCCTCTCGCTTTTTATCCATAACACCAAGAGACCTGAATGAAACACTGGCAACGCTGCTATCCTCGCCGATGTTGGCAAACACAGCATCCACTTCCCTCCCTCTCTGCCAGCTTCCGCCTACAACTCAACTCAAAACTTAAGGTTTAGAATTCATTCAATATATGGCCCCCTGTACAAACTTAAAACCATTGACGGGCAACCCATGGCTACAGAAACTACACAACCTTGTGCTCCTGCACTCTGAAGCAATTTCGGCCCTCCAAGCCACGGTCTTCCAACAACAACAAACCATAGACCGCCTCCTTGAATCATCGACGAACAACAACCAAGAAATTCTCAACTTACAAACTGTTGCAGATGATGCAATGGATCAAATACATAAGATTAAGGCCAAGGAAACCCACTCAGCTCAAAGTGACTTCCTTCAAAAGCTGGAAAAACAAATATATCTCCTTCAGGTTCACCAGGCGGCTTCCGAAGATGACCTAGAGCAGCAACAACTTCATGACTCCCTGATAATTAGCTCCACTGATCTACCTGATGAACAACAAGGTGAGAATTGTTGTAACGTAGCCCACACCCTAATTAATTCAAAGATCAATGTCAACGTTGATATCAAATCACCAGTCAGGATAGATAAAAACAGTTCCCGTAGCACTAGGAAAATGCTCATCAAACTTGCAAATCCCGCTGTTAAGTTTGACCACATACAATCAGCTGCTAAGTAAAAAAACAACCTCTATATAAATAAGTGCCTTACAAAGATGCGTGTATCCCTCTTCTTCAGGCTGCGTCAAATTCGTAAACTATACCCTGGTCTTATCAAGCAGTGCTACACAAGGAATAGAACAATCATTGTAAAGAAGGAAAGTGCAGGGAAAAGATATGAAATAAAGTGTGACCAACAACTACTGGCCTTCTTTAATGATTGTGGTATATCTGAAAACCAGAACCCGCCCAATGCCAATACTGAAAATAACTCATGAGTGTCAGAGCCTAACCTAACTTAAACCTAACCTTGTCCAAGGCGCTGTCTCTGCCTTACCGTTTAATTAATGTTCTCTCATCCATAAAAGATCCTAAATATTCAGTAAAGTCTCCATGCACTAATGTAAGCATTTACCTCAGTATAATAGCAAAATTTTATTCATACATATAATCTTACCCTGTTATTTTTACTTTTTTATTTAATTGTAATTTTATTTATGTCATTTATTGAAATTATTTATTGAGCTCATTTTGTTTTCTTAAGTTCATACTAATTATAGGTTAATAACTAAGCTATATAAAATTAATTATCTTTAAGATTATTTTACTTTTCGATTATTATTTGTCTTATTATTTTTGTTATACATTAATCTTGTCAGTCTCTACTGTTTCTTTGTTTTCTCTTTTTACCTAACTTCTGTATCCTTCCTGGCTATTTACGGTGATCTTTACTCTACTTTTAATTGATTCTACTTTTTGTGTACTTGCATTTATTGTTGTGTTTTGCTATAGTTACTTTCTATTTACAGCAGATTTAGTATTTAACTGTTTCTGTAATTGCTTGTCTTATAGTACCATGCCGGTACTATAAGACAAGCGTTACTATACTATAAGGTATATATAGTACCGTGACCGGGAGCCGGTCGGCCGAGCAGGCAACACGTTGGACTTGTGATCCTGTGGTCCTGGGTTCGATCCCAGACGCCGGCGAGAAACAATGGGCAGAGTTTCTTTCACCCTATGCCCCTGTTACCTAGCAGTATTAATAGGTACCTGGGTGTTAGTCAGCTGTCACGGGCTGCTTCCTGGGGGTGGTGGCCTGGTCGAGGACCGGGCCACTGGAACACTAAAGCCCCGAAATCATCTCAAGATAACCATGACCCCATTGCATCTACATGCATACTGATATTGATCCTGATCGAAATCTTCCGTCTCATATCAACATCATTCAGCACATTGATCATCATTATTGCAGGTATTACACAGCAAATCAAGCAAAAACAAACTCCTAAATAGCACCTGCTTATCAGTTTACAACCAAAATGTTAGGTCACTTGGTAAACATTTTATATTATAAATGCACTACTCACAGCACTAGGTACTAAATTATCATTATTTATTTTAACGGAAACTTGGCTAAGTAAAGACTATACCCAACTCTACAACTTAGCTGGTTATAAAGCCATTCACAACTGCAGGCCTAATAAAAAAGGAGGTGGCACAGCAATATATTACTAAGAAACCTTCATCTGCAATAGTGTCATTAGTGATAGAGACGACTATTGTGAATATACCTTTGCCAAGTTCTCAAGTAAATCCCTTAAATCCTCCTTGACTATCAATGCCATCCTATAGATATCCCAATACCAATATAGCTTCATTCTCAGATAACCTAAGGAATCTTATCATAAATAACAATCTCAACAAAAATCACATCATTCTAGGAGGTGACTTCAATATTGACCTGGGTCTTCAAAATAACCCTCAACTTGACTATTTCCGTAACAGCAAGAACTCCTGTATGCTAATCCACACAATTACCAAGCCCACCCGAATCACTCAAACATCTGCCACTACCTTGGATCACTTATGTACTAATATAACAGCTCCCCTTACATCTGGTATAATCTATGACAGAACAACTGACCACTATCCTACCTTCCTCATTGCAAACATGGACATAACACCACCAGAAAGCAAGAAACTAACATTCAGGCTACACAGTGAAGCAGCTTGAGGCAACCTCTCTAATGCACTTCACAATATTAACTGGGAATCTGAATTCAATAATACACAGGATATAAATTCATTAGCTAACCTCTTTCTCTCCAAAACTCTAAGCCTCTACAACACTCATTGTCCCCTCCTTGTGAGGGGATGGTTCACCAGCTCACTTACAATGGTGTTCTCCTGCCTGTGGAGACCAGTACACTTGCTAAGTGCACTTGTTAAGTGCGCAGACCTAAGTTTGGTAACCATGGTAACCAGTACCCGCAACATCTTGTGTTTGGGCTCATGTGAGAGCCCCAGTTATCAGCAGTCCAGAAATGTTACCCTGACTGGGGTAGCACGTCTGTGGACAGAGTTATAGCCAATAGCATCATTTCATTGTAAGCTTGGAGGGACTCAAGATTTGCACGGGACTCTTGAGAGGCCTGGAACAGCGTAGTGCGAGTGTGGGCCTCCCGCTAGCTCCAGCATTGTCGTCATAGCAACGGCCGCCATTTTAGCAAACATCTGGGGAGTCAGCCATCTTGACGATGCCCCTGGGCCATGCTACACCGTCTCTGATTGGTTGAGAGGGGAAGGTCGTTGTGTGCCTCCCTCTCATTGGTTCTTTCGAGGAGACACGGGAACGCCGGCATGTTTCTCCCTCAAGGCATCATTCTGAACTCAGTCACCACCTTGTCCTGACGCTCCCTGTGTTTATTAGGCCAAATTGAGTATAGGGCGTCGTGGTGGCTTGACTACTCATCTGCTTCACCTCCTGCTTCATATACGACGGCGGTCGCAGCAGAATCCGGCCGAAGTCATCGCTCGAAGGGGAGAAAGACATTGTGTACAGTGGGTAGAGATCTGGGTCGTGGGTAATTTGCATACGAGAAGCACCAGGACTAGTAAGTCCCCATTCCAGTGATTATAGACGTTCTAATTCCTGTTTGTGCTCTGTAGCAGTCGATGGGAATGGGGAAATTCGTGTCAGTGTTTTAAGGCAGATTTCCCATTTTTGTGTAAGACGCTATATGTTGTGTGCGTCACCTGGGTACGAACATCCGCTTCACCGCCGTGGGTCGGGGGTGCGAAACATCGAGCCATGTGAGTGACGGAGGGTTCGAAAGACTCGCCAAGTCATCTTGTACGTACGATACCACGTGAGGTACCAGCTCCGCCTAGTCTCCACCGCCATGAGCAGCCACCCACCAACTGGGTGCCTGATGTATGGTAATTGTGTGAGTGTGTGAGGCCGGCTGTATAAATCAGTAAGTACTTATGTGTGTATTTGTGGTGATTTATTAGCCTGTGAGCCTGAATTCAAAGTCAGGTGTTCCATCGCATTGTCACTAAGAGCACCTGTAGAGGTGACAGTGGAGTGTGGACGAGCGAGAGTATCACCCTTGTTGACATCTTGTCAGTCCAGTGGGACTTGGTCTGGTGTAGACAGACGTACACTTGTGTGTACTCACCTATATGTACTCACCTATATGTGCTTGCAGGATCGAGCATTGACTCTTGGATCCCGCCTTTCTAGCTATCGGTTGTTTACAGCAATGACTCCTGTCCCATTTCCCTATCATACCTAGTTTTAAAAGTATGAATAGTATTTGCTTCCACAACCTGTTCCCCAAGTGCATTCCATTTTTCTACTACTCTCACGCTAAAAGAAAACTTCCTAACATCTCTGTGACTCATCTGAGTTTCCAGTTTCCACCCATGTCCCCTCGTTCTGTTATTATTACGTGTGAACATTTCATCTATTTCCACTTTGTCAATTCCCCTGAGTATTTTATATGTCCCTATCATATCTCCTCTCTCCCTTCTTTTCTCTAGTGTCGTAAGGTTCAGTTCCTTCAGCCGCTCTTCATATCCCATCCCTCGTAGCTCTGGGACAAGCCTCGTCGCAAACCTCTGAACCTTCTCCAGTTTCTTTATGTGTTTCTTCAGGTGGGGGCTCCATGATGGCGCGGCATACTCTAAGACGGGTCTCACGTAGGCAGTGTAAAGCGCCCTAAAAGCTTCCTCATTTAGGTTTCTGAATGAAGTTCTAATTTTCGCCAGTGTAGAGTACGCTGCTGTCGTTATCCTATTTATATGTGCCTCAGGAGTTAGATTTGTGTGTGTGTGTGTGTGTGTGTGTGTGTGTGGGTACACACGGGAACATAGTATACATAGATTAGCCAAGGACTGAGAGGGAATGTCCATGCGTAGAGGCGTAGAACAGTTAGGAAGTTACTGGAGACGTGTCTCAGAACCTACTGTGTCATAGTTGCAGGTGTGACTATAGATCTCTTGCTTGCTTGTTTGATTCCTCTGTGTTTCATGCCTTATGTTCGAGTTAGTTCATTATGCAGTCCGAAAGGCGTCGTCATTGTCATTGACATCTAGCTGTCATTGATAGTTTCACAGGAAGAATTTCGAATAACGTCATTGATATTTCTCTTGTCTTTTGTTGTAGTAGTTAGTACTTTATTGAATAAAGTTGTTATGGTGAATGTCTATTCGTTTCACCCCACACAGTATAATTGTTATGTAAGTGATTCTTCACACGACTATTAAATTGAGACTGATTCATGGGTTTTCGACCAAATGTACGGCACCACTCAACAATAAATTATTGTTGTGAGAGCCCAGGACCTACTCGCTAGATTCGCTTCGGCGAATGGCGAAGGTCGACGGCCTATAGTGGAGGGATTTCATCTTTTTGGGGTCTCGGCGTTTGCTAGCGCCTAGTCAATTGTTCATAAATGGTCCCAGAGTGAGGAATGAGCTGCTTACTACACTGGTGTGTTAGCTAAGCAAGTCCTTCCTCAGGCGACCTAATTGAATATCACGACAGGGATAAGTGTTAAAAGAATTAAAGAAAATTTGTAGAAATTTTCCGAGCTCAACTCCTCAACCATTCCATTATTCCACTTTTAAACTCTCACACTCCTTACCAAACAAGTAACTGACAAAAGAATAAACAATCCGTGGCTCACAAGTGGCATATTCAAATCAATCAACAACAAAAAATGAATATGAAAAGAAAATTAGGATTGGCCTAGTTACAAAAGAAGTAGTTAAAAGGTACTCATCAGTGCTTACCAATATCATAAGAAAAGCAGTACTACATAAGAGTACTACAAATTAGAGGTATTGTCAGGCAACATCACCGTGACAAGGTAACTGAGGAAAGGAGGATAGAAGCACAAACTAGTGAATCTATACGATGGTACAACATGGTTGCAGCTGGCAATCCCAATTGTTATGGCCGAAGAGGAGGAGGACGAGGGAGGGAATCAGTAATAGTAAGAATCCGTCTTGGATACAAATATCCTTGAAGATATGGAATGGAAACAACAGTTGATCAGCGAAGTTGCAGAATCTGTGGTGAGAGTGACGGACACCGCCTTGACCACTATCTACGTGAATGTGAACACCTGAGAGATATCAGAAATATGTGTAGAATAATAAACCCCACATTGTTTGAGTTAGGAAAACACTATTTGTCAAATATTGATGCTGTTCTTAAAAGATTTCCCCATTTTGCACCTGCAAGATAACGTAAGCTTTTAGGGGTTGATAGATGTTAATCTTCTTGTTTGAGGAGCTGTTCACTTGAGACAGTTAAGCAAGTCCCAGCTGTGTCTGGGTACAAGTGACAGGATGAACAACCCAGCGGGTTTTCTTCCTATTGGGGAGTGTTGTACATGCTGCTATGGCGGTGTGTCCACTCACAAGATGAGTGGCGCTGCCCAATAAACTCGCCCCTCGGGGCAAAATTTACAAAATTTAAAATAAGAAAAGCAAAGCTTTCATATTATGAGAATAGATTCAAAGAAGCAAAAGGCAACATGAAAAGCACATGGAAAACCATCTCTAATATCCTAGGAACTAAACAACACTCCCACAACCAGATAACACTCTCTAAGGATGGCCTTACACCGTCATCTGATTTAGAAATGGCAAATGAATTTAATAGCTTCTTTTCATCGGTTGGTGCTAACCTTGCCAGAAAAATCCCACAGACTCAGACACATATCAACACATATCTCTCAGGCAGCTATCCAAATTCTCTTCTCCTTTCACCAGTCAGTCCAACAGATGTTGTGTCCATCATACACTCACTAAAAACCAATGCTGGGAACATCAGTGAAATCCCATCCATTGTATACAAGAGCGCCTTCCATGCCCTTGCGCCACACATAGCTCTGCTGTTCAACAAATGTCTAGTGTCATACCTTCCCTGATATCCATAAAAAAGCAAGAGTAATGCCAGTTCATAAAGGAGGTAATCCGGCAGACATAAACAATTATAGACCAATATCAAACCTACCCATACTATCAAAAATATTTGAAAAAAATATCTACAAACAGCTCTACTCCTGCCTTGTAAAATTCAACATACACAGCCCCTGTCCGTTTGGCTTCCGCTCCCAAAAGAGTACAACGATGCAATTATTAGTCTCCTTGATATAATTTACTCAGCCCTTGACAAAAATGGTTTCCGATTGGACTCTCCATTGACCTCAGAAAGGCCTTTGATACTGTTAATCACAACTACCTCTTACATTAACTCCATCATTATGGAATCCGAGGCCTTGCCCTGGACTATGTTCAATCCTATCTTAGTGATAGACACCAATGTGTAGCCATCAATAAAATAACCTCTCTCACTCTACCAACAACCGTTGGAGTGCCACAGGGAAGCATCTTGGGACTTCTCCTCTTTTTATATACATCAATGATCTGCCTAATGTCTGGTTCATACCTGGTTGATGGGCTTCTGGGAGTTCTTCTACTCCCCCAAGCCCGGCCCGAGGCCAGGCTTGACTTATGAGAGTTTGGTCCACTATAGGCTGTTGCTTGGAGCAGTTGCAAGCCCACATACACAACACAGCCCGCAAGCCCACATACCCAACACAGACCGGTTGGTCCGGCACTCCTTGGAGGAAGCAATCTAGTTTCCTCTTGAAGATGTCCATGGTTGTTCCGGCAATATTTCTTATGCTCGCTGGGAGGGTGTTGAACAACCGTGGACCTCTGATGTTTATACAGTGTTCCCTGATTGTGCCTATGGCACCCCTGTTCTTCACTGGTTGTATTCTGCATTTTCTTCCATATCGTTCACACCAGTACGTTGTTATTTTACTGTGTAGATTTGGTACTTGGCCCTCTAATATCTTCCACGTGTATATTATTTGATATCTCTCTCTCTCTCTTCTTCCTTCTAGTGAGTACATTTGGAGGGCTTTGAGACGATCCCAATAATTTAGGTGCTTTATCGCGTCTATGCATGCCGTATATGTTCTCTGTATTCCCTCTATTACAGCAATCTTTCCTGCTCTGAAGGGGGAAGTGAGTACTGAGCAGTACTCAAGACGGGACAACACAAGTGACTTGAAGAGTAACAAATTCTGCTTTCAGACAACACTCTCCCCCTTGTTTAAATCCCTAAACATGAGGGAGCCGGTCGGCCGAGCGGACAGCACGCTGGCCTTGTGATCCTGTAGTCCTGGGTTCGATCCCAGGCGCCAGCGAGAAACAATGGGCATAGTTTCTTTCACCCTATGCCCCTGTTACCTAGCAGTAAAATAGGTACTTGGGTGTTAGTCAGCTGCCACGGGCTACTTTCTGGGGGTGGAGGCCTGGTCGACGACCGGGCCGCGGGGACACTAAAAAACCCCGAAATCATCTCAAGATAACCTCAAGATGCTAAGCATAAACTCACTCCACACATTCTCTTGTGTCAATTACATTTACAAAACCCTGTTCTTAAATGCAAACCATGCTCTGAAACTCTCCTTGGACACACGTAATAGGACCCATTATCACAACACTAGAAACAAATATCTCTTTGATATCCCCAGAGTCAATCTTAATGTGTGTAAACACTATGCAAATAAAGGGACCTAGTCTATGGAACTCACTCCCTAATGAATTGAAAAGCTGTCCAACTTTCCGTCTTTCAAAAACAAAACTAAATGTACCTAATTTTATCTTCATAGTTTCCTACCTTGTTGCTTTAAAATTGCACTGTATCTAGTGCTACCCTATCTCCCAATCTTTATGTACCTAATCCAAGCAACTTTACCATTGTGATCATTGTTGTCTTCCTATATGTGCTATCAATTTTCTGTATGGTGCCTATTAATCTTTATTTAAATTACCAATCAAGCTGTCAATGCAATCAATCAGAGCTACCAATGTGCTTTAATATACCTACTAATCTCTCTTATCTCATTTTTTCTTGCAATGTATCTGTTATCATTTCATAAATTCTGCTAGAATTGACCTACTTAAAATTATCTGTTAGATTAAAGACCTGCCCGAAACACTGCGCGTGTTAGTGGCTTTACAAGAGTGTAAATACTAAGCTATGTATCCTCACTAACCCAATGTACCTTCTTGTATATAAATAAATAAATAAATAAATATATAAATAAATAAATAAATAAATAAATGATTTTGTATCATATTATCAAGAATTGATTTGATATAAGTCAGGGTGATGGCTTCTTGGGGTCAGGAAGGAGGTTGGTTGGTATTCACCTAGATGTTGGGAGCCGGTCGGCCGAGCGAACAGCACGCGTGACTTGTGATCCTGTGGTCCTGGGTTCGATCCCAG